TGCCGCATGACAGAGTGAGCTCCCGTCTCTGGTCCCAGCTCCTGCCAACCTAGCCGTTTGAAAGCAAGAAATTGCAAGTAGATAAATAGGTACCACTTCGGTGGGAAGGTAACAGCGTTCCGTGCAGCTTGGTGTTTAGTCATGCTGGCCACATGACCACGGAAACGTCTTCGGACAGCACTGGCTCTTCGGCTTTGAAACGGAGATGAGCACCGCAACCCTAGACTCGGATTCGACTGGCTTTCGAGCAAGGGAACCTTTACCTTTTTACACGAAAGCTTATACCCAGAATGAAACTCGGTTGCATGTGCACAAAAGCTGATACCCAGAATGAAACTTTGTTGGTCTTAAAGGTTTGCATGCACACCCAGAATGAAACTTTGTTGCATGCGCATAAAAGCTTATACCCAGAATTAAACTTTCTTGCATGCACAGGAAAGCTTATACCCAGAATGAAACTTGGTTGCACGCGGACAAAAGCTGATACCCAAAATTTGTTGGTCTTAAAGGTTTGCATGCGCACCCAGAATGAAACTTTGTTGCATGCACATGAAAGCTTATACCCAGAATTAAACTTTCTTGCATGCACACGAAAGCATAAAACCCAGAATGAAACTTCGATCCATACACAGGAAGGCTTATACCCAGAATGAAACTTTGATGCATGCACACAAAAGCTTATGCTCAGAAAGAAACGTCGTTGCATGCACACGAGAGCTTATACCCAGAATGAAACTTTGTTCGTCTTAAAGGTGTGCATGCACACAAAAAGCGCACAAAAGCTTTTACCCAGAATAAAACTTCATTGGTCTTAATGGCGCCGCTGGACTCAAAGTGGCCCCCTACTCAGTCACCGACAGAGCTGGATGCTACAGGATAGAGTTGCCAACTCTGGGTTGGGAAATTTCTGGAGATTTGGAGGTGGGGCCTGGGGGAGGGGGAGGTCTGGGTTGGGGAGGGACTTCAGCAAGGATGTGGTGAGATTGAGTCCACCCTCCAAAGCAGCCATTTACTCCGGGGGAACTGACCGTTGTCCTCTGGCAATCAGTTGTGATTCCAAGACACAGAGGTCATTTCGGGGGGGAACGCGGGGGAACGCAGTTCCCCCGGGTGACTTGCAGGGGGGCGGGGCACATGACGAAGCCCCGCCCCCTGCTTCCGACCGCCCCGCTTCCAGCCCTCATTCAGCCAGGAGGAGGCAGAAGAAGAGGGAGGGTAAGTTGCTTCCTCCCCGCCTCTCCCCACCCCTGCCTGCCTGGGGCCAGGGAGGGCCTTGGCGGGGCTTCCTCGCACTCCCGCTGGCCTTGCAGGTCCACCGCCGGGCCCCTGATGTCAGGGGGTGTGGCATATGCTAATGAGTTATGCTAATGAGTTCCCCTAGCTCTTTTTCTACGAAATGACCCCTGCCAAGACATCCCCAGGCCCCACCTGGAGCCTGGCAACCCTATGAGTCGAGAACTGTGGGCCTGTCCATTCTGCCGATGTCCACTGAGCCTTCTAGACCGAAGTGCACACGCCTTGTGTGTTGTGGTCCACGCTGCCCAGGGAACGGTTTTATCCCTGTGAATTCTGAGCAAGCGACAACATGATGAATGCCGACAACTGGGCAGGCTGAAGAGCCGCAAATGAAGGCAGCTGATTTCCAGCAGTGCTCACGGCAGCCCAGCGAGGCGGGGAAGGGGGGACACATTAGCCCAGCCAGCTGACATGTTCAATGCCACCTGATGCGCACGTGCGAAACCAATCGGAGCACTGCTCTTGCTGGATGGGGGAAAGATCACCCCTGCAAGTGCAGGGGGCGCCAGACCTGAGAGAAACTGGAATTCTGGGAAGGGTAAATTCTGCTTTTGAACATGTTATCGTCAGGGCTATTTCTGGGCAGGAACACAGTCCTGGGGAGAACACAACCACATATTTGAAAATATAATATGCTGAGGAATTGTAAAGAACACACTGATATTGATATTGGCGTCGATGTGGTAAGCTGCCTCCGAGGATGGAATTGACTCCCGTTCTGTTGCGACTAGGGTTACCAGGTCTTACCTGGCTGCCAGTGTGTGGGGGGGGGGGTCCTCTTTTGCTCTGGGATTCACAGGGCATGTTGCAGGGACACTCTAGTGTTTGAGAAAAACTCTATGGTAACCATAGAGTTTTTCCTCAAACACTTGAGCGCCCCCCCCCCCAGTGTGCCCTGAGCGATGATGTCGCCTCCGGACGGAACTGTTCAGGGTCGGGCAGTGCATTGGGGCCCCTGAAAGTGGGTGAACCCTCACCCCTGTCAGGGGTATGTGTGCAACCCTAATTGTGACTTTGCTACAGAGCTTGCTATGAGGACTTAATCTGTAAGAAGCTACAACTTCCCTTTTAAGAAACTGTTAGCCTTATTGCCGATAGCTCAGAGGCTGGATGATTTTCTGCAGTGCATACATCCTGTGAGTTTAAATGTTTTTACTCAATTAAATGAAATATATATATATATATATATGTATTTAAAATATTTTGGCTGCATGCTGAGAGTTTCTTTTCTGCTGATGAGCTATAAATTTACCCGCTGAAGGGAACCCCAAGGCCCGTTGGACCTGATACTATCACTTCCAGGACGTTGGGAGCGAAACTCTGGTACTTGGACAAAACTCTGTAGTAGATGCCAAATTTACCATAGAGTTTTAGCCCAGATACTAGACTGTCACCCCAGCATCCTGGAAGTGGTAGTGTCACTTAAACGCTGAGACGTGTCCGCCATTAGAGCACCAAATCCGGAAGCCTTCCCGTCAGCATCAACTTGACCTTTCCAGGACAGGGTATTTGCAGGAGGGGTGACAATGCAAGTCCAGGAAATCTGGGTGAAATGAATTTTCTGGCCCTTCTCCAGTCTGGCACCAGGCCTAGTTATGGGGGAGAAACAGTGTCAGCCTACTTGATGACCTTCTCCAAACAGCTGATGGTTCCCTTGAAGCTCCCAGTGGTTTTCAGTATCACTGGCCAGAGTATCCTTCTGAGCCATCTAGCTAGGATGGCTTTAGGAAACTCTGCATCAAGAATATAAGAAGAGCCCTGCTGGATCAGACCAATGAGGCTCCATCCAGTCCTGCATCCTATCTCACACAGTGGCCAACCAATTGTCCCGGAGGTCCAACAACAGGGCCTAGAGGCTGAGGCCTTCCCCTGCTGTTGCCTTCTGGCACGGGGATTCAGAGGTTTGTTCAAAGGCTCCCTTTAGTCACCATGGCCAGTAGCCACTGACAGACCTCTCCTCCATTAATCTGCCTGTGGCCATCACTACATCCTCTGGCATCCTCATTACAGCGTCTTCCCTCCTTTCCTGTGGAATTACATCTCTTGGCTCCTGGTCTATGGAGTGCTACAGGGCTCTACCTCATCTGCCGTGCTTTTCACCATCTACATGAAGCCACTTGGAGAAGACATTCAAGAGATTTGGATTACAGTGCTAGGGTTGCCAATTCCAAGGTGGTGGCTGGAGATCTCCCGCTATTGCAACTGATCTCCAGGCGACAGAAATCTGTTCACCTGGAGAAAATGGCTACCTTGGAAGTTAGACTCTATGGCACTATGCCCCAAACTTCGCCCTTCTGAGTCTTCACCCCCAAAACCTCTGGGTATTTCCAAACCTGGAGCTGGCAACCCCATGCAGCCAGGATCCTTGACTGACATTAGCTGCTACGCTGGCACAAGTGTTCCATGACAGTCATGTGATGCTGTTGTAGGGTCCCTGATGCCTTCAAGATTTCGGCGTGTGGGACAGGACCAGTGTTCCCTCTAAGCTGAGTCGGTGTGAGCTAGCTCACAGTTTTTTAGCCTCCAGCTCACACATTTCTGTCTCCGCTCAAGAAGGATGGCTCCAGAGCAAACTAATTTATGCAGTCGCCAAATGGCTCGCTCACAACTTTAATGCCAGTAGCTCACAAAGTAGAATTTTTGCTCACGAGACTCCACAGCTTAGAGGGAACATTGGACAGGACCCTGCAATTTCAACCAGCATGGAGCTTAAGAGACAGAGTACAGTTGCCCCTCTTAGCAGGCGGACAATGCACAGGAATATGGTGACAACTTGTCACGGCTCTGAGGACTATGATAAAAGCAAAGGTCTATCAGGACACGTTAAAGACATTGGCAGCAACTCTGTCATAGGGGGGGAAATGTGGAGGCACAGCAGGCTGACAGGTTTTATTGATTTTAATCAGTTTTTAAATATGTAAACCATTTACATGCCATTAAGGGTAGCCCAGGCTAGTGTGATCTCATCAGATCGCAGAAGCTACGCAGGATGGGAGGCCACCCAAGGACCTTGTCCAGGGCACTGTGCAAAGGCAGGCGACAGTGAGCTAGCTCTGTTCATCTCTTGCCTTGAAAATCCTACAGTGGCTGTAAGTACTTGTAAAGGTAAAGGTGAAGGTTCCCTTGCTCGAAAGCCAGTCGAGTCCAACTCTAGGGTTGCGGTGCTCATCTCTGCTTCCAAGCTGAAGAGCCAGCGCTGTCCGAAGACGTTTCCGTGGTCATGTGGCCAGCATGACTAAACACCAAGGCACACGGAACACTGTTACCTTCCCACTGAAGTGGTTCCTATTTATCTACTTGCAATTTCTTGCTTTCGAACTGCTAGGTTGGCAGTACTTGACTAAGTACTAAGTACTTGACAGCCCCCTAAAAATGGGGAGTAGGTCAAAATGAAGATATGCCACCTGAAGCCACTGTGGTTGGTGGGACTGGATGAACCCCAATACAGCTGCTCTTCCCATACAGTTGTTCTTCCTTTGACCTGGAAAAGTATTAAAAGGGTGGAGAGGACGCAGCATAATTGCACAGTGTGAAAAAGATGCTGATTGCGCAGAAAAACTGGAGTGTGAATGTCCAAAAGGTGAGTTTAAAGAGTGTGACTGGCTGATTTCTGACCGTGAAAGTGAGGTGACAATACGATCAAGCGGATAAGTGTTTTTTTTCCCCTTCACAAACACATTTCCCCCCTTTTCTTTCTTTCATAGTTGCAGAGCCGTAGGATCTGATCAACACAGCATGTCTGCTGAAGATATCTCATAGACATATCTTCCATTTGTCATTAAAGATGGGCCCACGATTGACCTGAGGAGACTGATGGGGGGCCCTGTGGAACGTCTGGTCTAACATAGCAGGTAAGAGGAACATCTGTGAGGCTGCTGAACTAGTCTTTGCAGGGCTCTTTTTGTAGAAAAAGCCCAGCAGGAACTCATTAGCATAATAGGCCACACCCCTGACAGCGCAGCTCATTAGCATATTAGGCCGCACCCCCATGTTACCAGAAGTGTGGTCATCCAGCCACACCCACCGTTCCCTTCTTATTCTGTTTACCTTGTTTGTTGTCCAAACCCAGGGCCTTTTTTTGTAGCAGGAACTCCTTTGCATGTTAGGCCACACACGCCTACTGTAGCCAATCCTAATGAGTTTCTGCTGTTGGGTGTGGCCTATTATGCTAATGAGTTCCTGCTGGGTGTGGCCAGCTTGGGAGCCAGCCGGAACTCCGTTCCTGTGCGTTCCTGCCCAGAAATAGCCCTGAGTCTTTGAAATGTGTCTGACTGCAATGATAGAAGTGGAAGAACATTGTGGCTACCCAGCTGATATGAGCAGGCCTTCCTGCATCTAAAACAGATCTGACAGGTGCCCATTAAAAAACCAACCGCTTGAGCAGGCACTCAAAGGAATGGAGAATGCACAACCATCCTGAGTCATTCTGAGTCAACAGTCCTGGCCGAATAAATCAAATTCTGCTTGCTCACTAATCCCATGACAACAGGGCAGTGCCCTCTTAAGCAAAGCTGCCTTATAAGGGCAGGGCCGTGGCTCAGTGGAAGAGCCTCTGCTTCGTGTGCAGAAGGTCCCAGGTTCAGTCCCTGTTACCTCCAGTTGAAAGGACCAGGCAGTAGGGAGAAGAGAAAGACCTTTCAGTGCCTGAGACCTTAGAGAGCCGCTGTCTGAGCAGATAATGCTGACCCTGATGGACTGATAGTCTGAGTAGAAGGCAGCCTCATGTGTGTATTCCCCCCCCCCCACCGGCGGCTTCCTCTGGTGGACTCTTTCATAGCATTTGGGTCTCGTCCACTTTCCATGCTCTGCTCTAAGATCTCCACACTCAAGGAGGTGGCGTGACCAGCAGAAACTGGAATAAAACACTGAGGCGATCTTGAAAATGGAACTCTTTTTCAGACGTTTCCAGCATCGTTTTGTTTATCACTCTAGACAGGGCTGCCAACTCCAAGGCTGGGGAATCCCTGGAACTTTGGGAGCTGAGCTTGGGGAGGGAGGCCCCTCCTAAATTGCCGACCTTTACACAGGACTCTGCAGGGCCCACTCTCTTGCTGTAAGCGCTCCAAGATGGGTCAGTGTGGTCGGCTGGGGGCTGAGCTCGCGGGAAGCGGGCTGGTCCAAGGCCCCTGATGAGTTTGCGGCAAGAGGGAGTTTTCCAAGCAGGGGTTTCCAGAGTCAGCCTCTTAGACAGGGGGCCGCACTGGTTCTCAAAATGCCAGGAGCCTCCGTGAAAAGAACCCCCGTGTGGGGCTGGGCTGAGTTCTGCAGTGGGTCAGGGGCCCAGGGGAACGTAGGTAGCAGTCCCCAGGGTCCAGCAGTGCAGACTTGTTGGGAACCCTGCTTCCTGCTCTCCGGAGTTCTCGACAAGAAATGCCTTTCCGAGCCTCATGAAGGGGAGAGAGGCTTGTTCGATACATGAAGTCACCCCTCCAACCCCACGCCCTCATTCCATTCTCCGTTGGTGCTCTGGGCAAGACACACCAGCAGGATCCCAACTTCCTTTGCCTGGCCCTGGCTCGACGTCCCCGGAGCTCCCCTGCCGTCTGCTGGCAGTGACTGGGGTCAGCAGCCGGGATTTCAAGTCTGTCCTGCAAGCCCCAGCTGCCCAGAGCTTGTGTGGAATGCCCAGCAGCCGGCTTCATTCGCTGAGCAGCAAAAGTGGTCCCTCCATGGCAGTACTGGATCGTGGTAAAGGAAGCTGTGGTCGCCACACTTATATTTGACTGTTCTCCCAAAGCAGGTGACAATAATCAGAGCACCACATAGCAGAGTAAATACTACAGAACTCGGTGCTCAGCCAAGTGATCTGAGGGCTTGATTTCTGCACTGGAAAAAACAATGTTGAAAACCACATAAACCTGCAGTTTCCTTGGCTGCTCTCCCACAACCAAGATTGCAGTTCCTCCCCAACCCCAGCTACTGCCTTCCTTCCTTCCTTCCTTCCTTCCTTCCTTCCTTCCTTCCTTCCTTCCTGCCTGCCTGCCTGCCTGCCTGCCTGCCTGCCTGCCTGCCTGCCTGCCTGCCTGCCTGCCTGCCTGCCTGCCTGCCTGCCTGCCTGCCTGCCTGCCTGCCTGCCTGCCTGCCTGCCTGCCTGCCTGCCTGCCTGCCTGCCTGCCTGCCTGCCTGCGTAGTACCATAATGTGTCTAGCTATGGGCTGACACTACTAGGAGCAAAGGACGCCCTCTAGGGTGAGGGCAGAGTTCCCTGTATTGTTCACAGAATACAATCTCCAAGCCAAACGCAGCAACACTATAAAGCACCAGCAGATAGTGAAATTATTTGTTTTCATGCATATATTTTTAAATGTCTCCCTAATATTTGCAATTTTCATTTTCCTTCTTGTTTGGGACAAAATTTTAAAATCTTTTTTTTTTTTAAGCATTAAATTATATATGAACAGCTAGACTCAAGGACCAGTCATTTTGACTCTTGCACACTCCTAGCCCAGAAATCTTATCGGTCCCTGAGGTGTTACTGAACTCGAATTTAGCTGTCCCGCTGCAGACCAATCCAGCTGCCCTCTGAAATAATTTTATATGTGTTTCTTTTGCAGAGCGGAAGCCCCTGTTTATGCTTGCATGTGAGAAGCGGATGTAAAACAGCCCCGCTCCGGAGGAAACATTCGCCCAGAGACACTGAAAATGACTGAGAATCTGTAGCCCAGAGAATTGTGTACCTACTTTAGACGTTGAATCACTGTTTCAATCATTTTATTCATGACTCGTATGAACAATGCAGGGGAGTAAGAAGCACACAGACGGACAAAGTGACTCCTCCAGTATTGGAAGCCTCCTGGATGAGACAGACAAAGAGGTCTGCAGCCTCACAGACCGGGCTTTCAAAAGTCTCTGCCTGGACGAACTGGAAACGTCCTACGCCGAGGCAGGTCCGGTTGCTTCGCCCCGCATTCAGCATCCGTTCTCCAGCAAATACTTCCAAGGGCCCCGGAACCACGCCCTCAAGAAAAACATTGCTTCTAACAAGCTGTTGCCCCAAACTGAAGAACATTCGACATTCCAGCAGTTGCTAAAGGACACTCCAAAAGAGAAAAGGGCTTTGACAAGCAGTATCCCGAACATCAGGAGGAAGCTGGGCTTGCCGGTGCCCAATTTGCACCATTATAAACATACCTCAAAAGTGTCTTCTCTGATAAAGACCTTTGATAAGGCTGAGAACCAGGACGCACCAGCCACAGCGGCCCACCCAGTTAAGAACCATTTGCCAAAATGTCCATCCATTTGTGGAGCCGACATGGCCTTTTGGGGGGGCAAAACGATTCTGAACATCCCGAAAGAACTCTCCGAATTTTCAGGGGCATGCCAAAACGTGGGAGGTGTGCAAGCCAGGCATGATACGCACAAGAGATGCCACAACCCGATGGATCTGTTCGGTCAAGGCCCGCCTCGTTACTATTCTGTCCCGGCTGTCGCTTCCAACCTACCACAGTCCAGAATCTCTGCATCCTCTAAAAAGACAGTGAAAAAGAGGATAGGGAAGGCAAAAGAGACAGCCGAGAGGGGCAATTTTCTCCACAGCGAGAACAGTGCTTTCGAATCCTGGAATGCACATCATAAAAAGCTGGGTGGGATGAGGGGATCTACTGAACTGATGCCTCCCGAAGCAAATCTTGCGTACTTGGAAGAAACGCCTTGCTTCAGAGAGCCCTGTACGCCCGACGGTCAGCTGTCTCCCCTAGAGACTGCCGATTCTGTCGTTCTAGAGGAGGACGTCTCCTCAGATGCGTTTCCACAAAACCCTCAACCCAGAAGCCCCCTTTCTCCAGCCTCTCTGTGCCAGAGCCCTTCTCTCCCACTCTCTGCCGCCAGAGACCCTCTCATCTTCATACCACCTTCTTCTGGCCTCGCAGTGTCTGAGGGCGGGATCCCAACCCCACCGCCCCTCCCGTCCAACATCCCTTTCCCACGAGCGCTGAGCCCCCAGGCGGCTGCTTCCCCAGCACCAACGCCCAAGGCTCCCATTCCACTCCCCGGCATGCCTCGGGGGCCTCTTTTGCCCAAAGCCAATCCCCACAGTGCCGACGCACATGTGCCACGTGTCACTTTGCATCCAGAGAAGACAACCCGTTTGGAACGTGATCCGGAACTGGGGAAGGCCGGCCCGCCCTGGAGGAGACAGAAGGCAGTCCGCAGGGGAATGGAGGTGGGAGCAGACTTGGCAGGCGAAGGGCTCGAAATGAAAGATCCCGCGCGAGGGAACTCCTCAGGCGCCACTGCCTTCGCTGACATGGCCGCTCCTGATTCCCACGTCACCGTGCCCGATGCCTCCAGTCCATCCTTCAGCATCACACAACTCCTAACGCCACTCATCCCGCCCAAGCGGGAGAAAGAACCCTCCGAAAGCCCCTTGTTGGTGGCAACGCCTCCCCTCTCTGAGGCTGAAGCAGCCCAAGAACTTCAGGAGAGAACACTCCATGGTCCTCAGGACAATTATAAGTCTAAAGCGTCGAGCTTGTTGTTCAACCTGAAGGACATCCGAAAACGTGTCAAAAGCACTTATAGTCCCTCTCCTCTCCTGAGGGCCTTTGAAGACAAAAAGAAGATCAAGGAACCAGGCAGCCTAAAAGCAAGTGTGAGAATTCTGCTGGAAGGAAGCAGTTCCAAAGCGGCAGAGAATGATGAGGCCGGGAAAACGTGCAGCACCCAGGAAAAGACGAGGACCACCCACTTCAAGGGGCCTCTCCAGGGCAATCGCCGGACTTTGAGCTCACCACCGTCAAAGGCAGGCAGCTCAGGTGATCAAAAGAGAAACCCTTTACAGCAGGAGGATTCCATGGATTTTGAGGATGGTGAGTCGGTCTCAGCGGATGAGTTCCACCCAAAGGGTCACAGCCCACGTCAGTGTCCTCCTTTGTCCCAATCTGAGCAGGACACGTACCTGCAAAACGTCAGCTCATGGGATCCCAAAAACAGGAAGGGTGCAGGCGTGGGACCCCGTGAGTCCCCCAACTTCTTTTTTGCAGCTGAAGAAAACATGCATGGCAGCGAAAACCAGGCCTGCCCGGACAGTGGGACTGAGCAGAAGGACAAAAGGAGCACGAGCTCTTCTGAGCAGTCCTTCGTCTCCATCGTAGACCAGCCACCTCACGAGGAGTCCTACTCTCTGATGCAGCTCTTTCAGAAAGCGTGCCTTCAGGAGAGCCAGAGGAACATGGACAAGGGGAGCGTAGAGGAGAAGCCCAGCGACAAAGAAGGAGGGGAGTCCGGCAGGCTGGAGGAGGCCTCGCACGGCCACAGCCTCAGCAACTACGACTCGAGCACAGATGGAAAGAGCGGCAGGGAAGTGGAGCAGAGGGAGGAGGAGGAGGAGGAGGAAGAGGAGGAGATGCTGCAAGAACGACTGCGGGGAGAGAGGAGAGAAGGCAGAGGGCAGAGGCTGGATTTGGCTTCCGAAGAGCCGCTGACACCCACTCCGTCCAGTTCTTTCAAGCCCAATTTGTTCAAGATCAAAGACAACACATTCAAGTCACCCCCGGTGATAAAAGCCGTCAAACTGCCTTTGTTCAGGTCCTTGTCCTGCGACGGTGCCATCGCAGGTGGTTACAGGGAGAGCGAAAAGCAGGCCTGCGGGCCGTTTCGAACCACTCCGGTGATTCAAGAGACGGATTGGCCTTTATCAAGGAACCGAAGGCAGCAGAGGACATGGAGGGCAGCAGCGGAAACGGATAGGGAAGGAGACGAGTCGGGATATCGTCCGGCACGAGCGGGCGGTCAAAGGGCAGGAAAAGGCAAACTGGCCACAGACTCCACTGTCCAAAAAGAGCCAAGGAGCTTTTATGAACAGCAGCCGGTGGAAGATGACGAAGGAGCGGCTGTTGCCCAAGGGACAGTACAAAACGAGGATAAAGACCGCGAGGAACGACTGATCAGGGACAAAGAAAAAGCCAGAGCCAGGAAACTGAGGCCGAGTTCCACCAGTCAGTTACATCTCGAAGGTGACCTAGTACAAAATGAGGCAAGGGAGAAGGCAAATTATTATAAGCATAGTCTCTCGTCCAAACGCAGAAGTGGCTCTTGCGAGAAAAAAGTGATCACTCGGGAGTCAAGATCTCCCACGGCCTCAGAGACGCAGGCCTATTCTCCCGCTTTCAGCGATGCTTTCGGAGACGCTCTGTGCACCCCTAGCGTAGCAAGCTCCACTGTGCCAAGTCCAAGATCAGACAGCACAATGCAATCTGCCTTCACAAGTCCCTTGTCAGACGCAGCTGCAACCTGCAGCACAGCGCAGGCTGAGAAAGCAGCGGCTGCCTCTTCGCTGCACAGGGGTACGTACGGCGAAGATAACCCTTCCGTGGCAGAGACATCTGGGCCAATGCAGGCAAGTCAGCTCTCCGGACACACCAATGGCTCTTCTGTGACAAATGAGAGGCCTCGGCTGATGAGGCAAATGGTGAAGACGGCAGCCAAGCCCCCTGCTGTTCCACCCAAAACGGAAAAGGCATTACGGCGGGCAAAGAAACTGGCAAGCAGAAGGAAAAAGGTAGAAACACAGCAGAAAAAGTCCACGGCTGAATCTGTACTGCCCTGCGAAGATATCACACCCTTTCCAACGCACCTTAGCTCACCTGTGACGCCTTCCAAATCTCACCAGCTGACGTTGCCACCCATCCCCTCAAGTCCCACGCCTTCTTCTCCTGCAACTCAGCGTAAACTCCTCCAGGATCCCGACTCTGGAGAATATTTCATGGTGGATCTGCCCACCCAATTCAAGACTTTGTATGATCCAGAAAGCGGCAGGTACATTCAAGTCTCGCTTCCGTCTTCCAAAAGGGACTTGTCCCAAACGCTGTCTTCAGAGGTTCCCGCTCCTCCTTATGTCCTGTGCCCCAGTGATCTCCCCGCCAGAGTTTCATCTGTTCCCGTCCGGGCCTCTCCTTCTCAGTTTTCTGAACCCGCTTCATTTGTGGGAGGAGCCTTTTCGGAATCAGCTCCCGATTGGCAGCAAGATGGCTGCTATCCAGAGTCCCTGAACAATCACCTCTACCTGGAGTCTGCTGTATCGGAGGATCACACGCAAGAGGCTGACGGGCCACCCTTTAACTTTGAAAGGGACGACAAGACTGACATTATTTCACTCGGTGCCATTGAAGATTTTGCCGTTGAAGGGATCTCGTGAGGACTACTGCCGTTCTTTTAGAAAGGCAGACACCCACCTTCACAAAACACCTGCGTTAATATCAGTCAATACTTAAAAACAGGGCTTTTTTTTGTAGAAAAAGCCCAGCAGGAACTCATTAGCATATTAGGCCACACCCTGACAGCACAGCTCATTCGCATACTAGGCCACACCCCCATGTTACCAGAAGCGTGGTCATCCAGCCACACCTACCTTTCGCTTCTTATTCTCTTTATCTTGTTTGTTGTCAAAACCCAGGGCTTTTTGCATGTTAGGCCACACACCCCTAATTGTAGCCAGTCCTAATGAGTTCCTGCTGTTGGGTGTGGCCTGTTATGCTAATGAGTTCCTGCTGGGCGTGGCCAACTCGGGAGCCAGCCGGAACTCCGTTCCTGTGCGTTCCTGCCCAAAAAGAGCCCCGCTTAAAAAGGATGGATCTGAGCGTGATTTATGTTAGAAGGAAAACTGAGCTGCTGCTTTTAGTGACATTTGCTGATGGAACAAATGAAAAATCCAGGGAGAATATGGACAATATGAAGGTCTCTTTGTTGGTGATGGCGTGACTGTGGATTGCGTGGTAGCGAGGCAGATCACTTGTGGTGGTGGGGGGGAACCATCAGGTGAGGACTTTAGCTTGGCAGAGCATTTACAGTTGGAAGGTGAGTGGCGACGAAGATCGAGAATGCGAATCTCAAAACCCGAATTTGTTAGTAACCACAGCTGGTGCCTTAGAGGGCTCAATCCAGAAACACATTGGCTTGGGTAGGCAAGAGCCCTGTCTACTGGCACAGTGTTTTGCAACGTGCTGCTGGAAAGGTTGATTGCGGTGGATTTTCAGTTCCGCAACTCACATTTCCTGGCAGGCTCGTGCTCAGACTGATCACTCTGGCTGATTTCGAATGTGAAAATGAATGGTTGAATGAAGTCTGATGGCTATATTTTGACTGCAGCATGTAAATGTTTCACCGTGCTGGTTTTCCCCACTGCTTTGGTAGTGGCAGGCACTCTGGTGAGGCAGAAAATCAGCTTTGGCTGCCTTCTTTGGATAGAGTAACAGTTCCGTGCCTCGAGAACGCAAGCAACAAAGCAAGCATTACGAAAGCGGAACAGGAAAGGTGGCATTGGAAGCAAGAAGTTCCGGACTTCATTCAACACCATTCAGAAACACACATCTTCAGTCTGGTCACCAAGCTGTGAGGATCCAGCGATTCAATTACCGTGGCCAAGTGAACGAGCAGACTCCAGGAACTTTATACAATTTTTTTGGAGTCAATGGACACTCCTGTGGAGAAGGCAGGCGGTAGGGAAATGCTCCTTCATTCGAGTTCTGTCCCAAACGACTATCAGTTGGCCACATTTCTGTCCCACCATCCCTCCAAGGACCTCTTGGGGGCAGCATACACGGTTCTTCCCTCCTCTGTTTTAGATTCACGACAGCCCTTTGAGGTAGGCTACGCTGAGAGTGACTGATCCAACATTGTTCTGTGAAATTTTATGGCGGTCAGATGGGTCTTCCCAGTCATAGTGCCCTTCCCCACACTGGAATTCTGATTGGCTGGGTACAAACTGAATCTTGATAATGAAATCTCTCAGGGGGGTACAGCTGTTTTAGAAAAGAGTTACAGAAGTATCCTTCCATGATACCTCAGGTGCCTGTTGGCTTTCAACACACCCACCTCTCAAGAACTCCATACAGAACGTGGAATCGGCAACGGATCACCAAGAAGGCTTTTTCTCCAGTCGCGAAAGCCGTCCCTGCTCTTCTGAACCTGTGCATCCTACTCATAATAGCACCGCTGAGGAAACAATCACTGTAATGTCTTTGCGATGGCCTCGGCCAGCCTCAGTTTTCATTTTTAAATAAAGCAAATTTCTATCCCTCAAGCTGGCAGAGATGCGTTTGAGAACATGGGGGCAGCAGCAGCAGCACCCGGGCAAAGGTCCGGTGTCACCAAATGTTCAAGCTCATGTGCTCTGAGCATGTTCCTCCCCCACTTTCTGTGTTAATCCTAGTGTCCACTCCTGGTTTGTTGCTTTACCGCTGCCAGTGCTGCCGTCACCGTCAAAAAGGTTGAAACACATCGACAGTCCTCAGCAGCCTGAGATGTGTTTTGGATTAAAGCATGCAAAAATTAGAGGGGAAGACAACCAGAGTCCAAATTATTATAGCTAGATTCAAGTCCCGTAACATCTTAGGGGCCAAGAAGTTTTTCAGGGTATAAGCTTTTGAGAGGGTATTTTGCCTTCAAAAACTGTACGGGGCGCCCCAAGTCAATTGCGACTTGACAGCAGTTTCCACCATTCATGGACCCTTGAAGCCCTTTGCAAGTCCTTCGCCATACATCTGACGAAAGGAGTTTTGACTCCTGAATGATTACGGCCCTCCCAAAACTCTTGTTGGCCTCTAAGATGCTAGTAAAGGTAAAGGTTCCCTTGCTTGAAAGCCAGTCGAGTCCGACTCTAGGGTTGCAGTGCTCATCTCCGTTTCCAAGCCGAAGAGCCAGCGCTGTCCGAAGACATTTATGTGGTCATGTGGCTGGCATGACTAAACACCGAGGCGCACGGAACGCTGTTCCCTTCCCACCGAAGTGGTACCTATTTATCTACCTGCAATTTCTTGCTTTAGAACTGCTAGGTTGGCAGGAGCTGGAACTAGAGACGGGAGCTCACTCCGTCATGCGGCACACCCGGGTCTCGAACTGCTGAACTACTGACTCAAATCTAGATATTCTACTGCACACCAACATGGCTACCCTCTGAAGCTAATGATTATTAGTTATTATTATTATGAATTGTCACAGTCAGATATTTGACTGGTCGATGGTGCTCTGCAATTTGAGATCCAGCCAATCTCTTGGGAGTCGCAGACGTATCTTTGCGGGATTCTTGCTGTTCCAAGCAACACTGTCTGATGGGAAATGGAATGGGGCAGGTGAGGAACAGAGGTAAAAAGGGATGGAGCAACTCCCGCCCATGGAAACAGCAAGGCAAAAAGGACAGGACATGCAGGATTGCAGTTAATCAGGGCTCTTTTTGTAGAAAAAGCCCAGCAGGAGCTCATTAGCATAATAGGCCACACCCAACAGCAAAACCCATTAGCATATTAGGCCACACCCTGACAGCACTACTCATTAGCACATTAGGCCGCACCCCCATGTTACCAGAAGTGTGGTCATCCAGCCACACCCACCTTTTGCTTCTTATTCCGTTTACCTTGTTTGTGGTCAAAACCCAGGGCCTTTTTTTGTAGCAGGAACTCCTTTGCATGTTAGGCCACACACCCCTAATGTAGCCAATCCTAATGAGTTTCTGCTATTGGGTGTGGCCTATTATGCTAATGAGCTCCTGCTGGGCGTGGCCAACTCGGGAGCCAGCCGGAACTCCGTTCCTGTGCGTTCCTGCCCAAAAGGAGCCCTGGCAGTTATCACCGACCTCTACCTCCGAAAAGTGGTCTAGGATGACACAGAGGTCCAAGTGACTTCAGTCTCACCCTGTAAACGTCTCAGGGGGGACTGTCTGTCGGGATGACCAAACTGTTTCAACCCCACAACTGGAAAAGAAGCCACATGATCAGAGTCATCAGACTTTGCACCTATAGCAGGAGGGACTGGGCAAGTCTAAATGGGCAAGCGACCCTGTGTAGGGAGAGGTGGGCACCCAAATATGTGGGTGAAGGATTTGTGAAGGGTTCCAAGGGTCCATGAGTGGTGGAAACGGCTGTCAAGTCGCAACTGACTTATGGCGCCCTGTACAGTTTTTGAAGGCCAGAATCGTTCAGAGGTGCCTCATCCCTGCCTGCCTCTGCGTACTGACCCTGGGCTTCCTTGGTGGTCTCCCCTCCAGGTACTAACTCAGGTCAACCCTGCTTAACCTCTGAGATCTGGTGAGATCAGGATAGCCTGGCCATCCACGTTAGAGTCCATGAATGGTGCCCAGAAACAAACAGGGCCACCAGTTTTCTTGTTTTGATTGATGATCTACCAGCCTTTTCTCTCAGAGGATTAAGGATGCCGTGGGCCTTTCCCCCCACAGAAACCCAACTGTTTGCTGCTGTTATCCAAACGGGCTGCTTGCCTGGTGTGCCAAGGCCCAATGAAGGGCACAACAGTGAGACTCCAGTAGCAGACAGAACTTTATTGCAATAAAGGGGACCCAGGTACTAAAGAGAAGCCAAGAAGTCTACTGTTTAAGCTCTAACTTGTGCTTTTTATACAGTGAAGTAAACAAGTGCTAGACATGTGCAGATGCCTATTATGACATAGCTTTTGTTTCCTTAAGGTCTGTTGAGGGATATCTTGTTCAAGCAGACATATAGCTCCTCCTTATAAGCAGTTTGGGACTTTCCACAAAATATATTTTTGTCAGACTTAATTTGCTGCCAGAAACTTGCTTGGTCCGGGACTTTCTGTCCCAAATCACAAGATATCATAGTTCCGCTGTACACAGCATTAGTCAGGCTGCACCTGGAGTCCTGTGTGCAGTTCTGGAGGCCTCAATTCAAAAAAGATGTGGACGGAATGGAGCAGGTGCAGAGGAGAGCGATGAGGATGATTAGGGGCCTGGAGACCAAGTCCTGTGAGGAAAGGCTGAGGGACTTCTTGGGAATGTTTAGTCTGGAGAAGAGGAGGTTGAGGGGGGACAGGATGGCTCTCTTGAAGTATTTGAAGAGCTGTCACTTAGAGGAGGGCAGGGAACTGTTCCTGCTGCCAGCAGAGGAGAGGACTCACAAGAATGGGTTTAAATTAAGGGTGGGAAGGTACCAGCTGGTTATTAGGAAACCTTTTTTTAGAGTAAGAGTTGTTCAACAGTGAAATCAGCTGCTTTGGGAGGTGGTGAGCTCCCCCTCCCTGGTAGTCTTTAAGCAGTGGCTGGACAAACAGTTGTCAGGGATGCTCTAGACTGATCCTGCATTGGGCAGGGGGTTGGCCTAGAGTTAAAAAGGCACCACATCACAAGTGGTGTTTTCAGTTCCCCGTGCTGTCATTGTACATGGCCACATGTCTGAACCCAGGGGAGCGCGCGCAGAATGGATTTGGCAGTCTGAACCTGCAGATCTGTTCTGCCACTAGGTTTTTTTTTAATGCCTATATGTGCATGTGTGCACATGCACATGAGCACATGTGTGCGTGTGTGCACATT